AAACCACCCCTACGCCCTGTGCCCTAAGTGAACTCCCCTGTGGCATATACGTGTGTCACAAGGTGGGCGAGCGTACCGAGACGAGTGTCTCAGATAACTTCCTTTGAAATGGGTTTTTGAAGGATAGTACCGGACGGCACGTGTGTGCCAGTATTGCACCCTAGCCTACGCGTCGGAGGTTGCTAAATACACCCGCTATCCAGTACCGTATCCATAAATGACTCGGCATGGGCACGAAAGGGCCAATGTCTTGATAGAACCTAAATAGATGTTTGAGCAGTCCCAATGAGATGAAAGACATGCGGGCCCATTCTCGATAGCACGACTGAGAGAGTTATGATGGTTGACGACATTTGACCCTGTCAATGGGGGTCGAGATGACAAGATGAGATACGGCGTCTTTATAAAACCAACGTCTTACTAACACAGGGTTTTATGTTTGGCTCTGATACCATCGGTAAGAATTCAAGTCTATTGCTAGCAAATATGGTCGGATTCAACACAAATATTTATTGTTTCATTATCATTATTTTTACATCCCCATTTCTTCTTTAAAAACAGCTGAAAAAGAAAAATTACAATCCCCAGCAAAATGTAATTTTGAGAGTGTAAGTCTCTGTTTTGTGTCAACTTTTGAGATTCACATAACAGAGCATGCATTTGGGTTTTCATCGCTGAAAATCTGGGGAGGATATGCGTACATTTCCATGGCGTACCTTTGTGGGTAATGCGTGTAGTATTCACTCTTCTTCAATTCCACCACTTTCCTTTCTTCCTCCGCCGCCACTTCCACCCCTGCTTTCCCCTCACCTCCATTGCCGCCACCGCCGCCCTCCGCTTCTTTGCTGCTCTCTTTCTCATCTCCGTTACCACTGCCGCCACCACCACCATCGCCACTGCCACTGCCATCTCCCTTCTTCTCTATCCCGCTTTCTTCCCCTGCCTTCTCCTCCTCTTTCACTTCCTTCGCCTCACCTTCTTTCTCCTTCTTTTCTGGGTCGGTCTTCACTATCACAGCGTGTTTTCCAGTTCTTTTGTGCACGTACTCCACAAGCTTTGGTGGGTCGAAAGCGCCCGTCACTGAAACTTGCGACCCTTTCAGATCTGGCTCCACTGCATCCACCCCTGTATCCAAATTCATATCAAAATTTCACGAATTCAATCGGACTGTGTTTATAATTATATATATATATATCAAGAAATTTGATTGGAACCTTTCATTCTCAATATGCGCTTCTTGATTTCCTGGGCACAAGCTTCGCAATGCATGTGGACTCTTAATACCACTGTCACGATCGGAGGCTGCACATTACACCATCAAAACAGAACATTTGATTTTCAGAAACAGAGCAAAAACAGAGTTTGTTGATTATGTGATTTGTGTAAGCAAATGTTTAGTAGATAAGTTGTGTTGTGATATGTACCTCTTCTTTCTTCTCTTCAGGTTTGGGCTTCTCTTTCTCCTCCTCCGGAGACGGCGGCTTTGGGATCGGAGATAGAAGCTCTACCTGTCTATGGCTCTTCCTCTGTATTCTGTTCAAGACCCTTAACGGATCCGCTTTTTCTCCTTTCACAACCACTTTATGGGTTTTGCAATCGGTGATTACATCTTCAACCCCTTTTAAAAATCAAGAGAAGAAATCCATTACAATTAAGATTCTCTCATTTTCATTTCTTTTCTCTCTGTACTTTGTTTTTCTAGTTGCTTACCTTCAAAGCCTCTGAGGCAACGGCGAACTTTCCGGGCACACCCTTCGCAATGCATGTAAACCTTGAGCACAATCTCCGGCGGCGGCGGCGGCGGTGGAACTTCCTCCCTGGTGGGTTGTTGATCCTTCCCCTCCTTGGATTCCTCTGTTTTTTTATCCTCTTTCTCCGGCGCCGACTTTTCCAATGGCTTACTCTCCTCTTCCTTCTCCTTGACATTCGCATCCACCGGCGCAGGCTTCTGAACTTCCATTTCTTGGGCCATGCTCTCTCCCATTGTCTTCTTCTTCTCCGCCTAAAGAAACACGCGAAAAATGAGAACAGAAAGAAACAGAGAGAAAAACAGAGGAATGAATGTGGGGGTTTGGTGAATAGTGAGGTTAAAGGCGCACCTGCTCTCCCATGTTGGGTGGTTTGTTGAGCGTGAAAGAGAGAAGAATGCAGAGGACAGTCTAAAAAAGATGGAAAAAAGTTGGAATTAGAGCGCTGGTTCCAATGAGAGTTGGGGGAGGAGCACATGCAACCGAGAAGCCATGTTTTTAACCCAAGCGGTGCCTGCAGAGCACCTCCCACGCTCTTTTCTTTTGCCATTTTCTCGGACATTTACGTAATTTCCCTTCCAAATTTTAAAGATTTAATAAACATTTTTTTTAAAAATTTATAAATCTATTACACACTTATCTGTGTTGGATGATGAAAGTCGCCCCGGGAATGATCATGGATTTATAAGTGAGGAATACTCTCTCCATGGTATGAGGCCTTTTGGGGGAGCCCAGTGAGAAATACTCTCTCCATGCTTTGAGGCCTTTTGGAGGAGCCCAATGCAAAAACACGAGAGCTTATGCTCAAAGTGGACAATATCATACTATTGTAGAGAGTCGTGTTCATCTAATAATCTGAATGCAAATTTTGTTCCCAACTTTCTTGATTAAGATGTACAATAAATTGGGTATTATAGTAGAAATGTCTATTTTTTCGGTAGAGTCTTACTATATGTAGACCTAACCCGAACGAGTAGCTAAACATGATCAGGGTCGAGGATTACATTTTCTGTCACCATCCTCGAGCCTGACCCCTCCCATTTCTCGCCCTACTTTGATCCAGGGACGATTTGATATTGGAATTTGAATTTCCAACCGTAAATAAAATAGTATTAAAGTATATGTCACTTGCCATTAAAATATTCGACTTTTATTTACTTTACTCGTTCGGTCTAAAAGGTCGAATGTATATGTATATATATATATATATATATATATATATTTGTTCAACTTCCTTTGTACCATCCACCTTCCTCCCTTTTCCATATATCAGATCCGTAGTCAAGTATCTACTTCGTTTGTAGATCAAATATTCAAATTTCTACGTCGACCTTGAGATGATGAGACTCATCAACCCGAAAACTATATATTTAAAATAACTACTATTACTTTCATGATAAGAATAGTAGTGTTGGTGAACAGAACAATGAACTTCCATATTGTTTGGTCGTCCTAAAGTTTGAAACAAAACGTGTCATAGTTATGAATGATACCTCGAGAGAAAAACTATTGCTCTTTGCACCCCCAACGTTTACATAATAAGAATAGCAGTGTTGGTGACAGAACAATGGGCTTCCATATTGCTTGGTCGTCCTAAAGTTTGAAACAAAACGTGTCACAATTATGAATGATACCTCGAGAGAAAAGCAACGGCTCTTTGCACCCCCAACATTTATTTTATTCAATCTCATCTTCATCAGCTGACAATAAGCCACTCTTCTTTCTCAGAATTTTCGAATACTCCCCTCATTGCTCGTTGGGAATTAAGTTGCATACCTACATGGCTATAACAACTCAGGCCCACCGGTACCGGATATTGTCATTTTTTTATTTTTTTATGTTGGGCTTTTCTCAACGTTTTTAAAACACGTCTGTTATTAGAGATTTATACTCCTTTTATAAAGAATGTTTCGTTCCCCTCTTCGATCAATGTGGGATCTCACAATGACTGACCCAAATAACAAGTTTATTCGTGATAATCGTCGAGACGAGCATAACTCGATTGGTAGAACATGTTCGACAGTTAGAAAGAAAAGTATTTGAAATAGGAATGATTGGATATATAAGGTGTGTATTTTCTTAGTTGCAATAATTTGGAAATGGATGTGAATGGTGAGTTATGACATCTCTTACAAACTTTATGTAAAATCAAATCAACCTTTTGTTTTTCTGTTCTTATTTCATGTTGACACACTGTGTAAGCCTACATTTCTTTTTTTTTTATGTCATTTCATTTAACACCTTTATTTATTTTGTTCTTATCAACCACTTTTAAAGCCTGTTTGTACCTCAAAATTGGCACCTTCTTCTTCCTTTCCAATTCAACCAACTTAAAAATCGCTCACTCAACTCACTATTCTTACGACACATACAAAAAATGAATAGGTTTTCGTTATTATTACAAATAGTTGGCTAATCCATGTCATACCGCACTACTAATTCCACTGATCTTGTATGACACCCAAACTCATTGCTAGCGTATATTGTTTGTTTTGACCAATTACATAACGCTATCAGCTTCACAGTTTTAAAGCACGTCTACTATGAGAGATTTTCATATCCTTATAAAAAATGTTTTTAAAAATGGAATGTTTGATGAATAAAAATAGTGAATCGAGTTATTGTAAGTATATTTGCTATCAATTGTTTGTACATTGACAAGACACTGGGATTTTTTAACTGATCTGATCTGAAAAAACTGGCTTGTTTTGTTATATATGGAGCCCAAGTGGCAAGGAATGTGCTGCTTTTTTGGTTTGTATTGAAGGGTGATGGGGCTGAGAATGGGATGAGGAAATGCCATGTGTGCATTGAGTTTGTACACGTAGAGCCAACATAAGACAAGGGTGTGTCAGTGGGGTGACTCGGAATCCTTACTCAATCCGAATAAGTTTATAATCCAACCTAAATCTCAAACCAATCTGAATAAGTTTATAATCCAACCTAAATCTCAAACCGTACAAACTAGGTTGAATCGAACTCAATCTGAATAAGTTTATAATCCAACTCAAATCTCAAACCGTACAAATTAGGTTGGATGGATCGAGTCATTCCATCACCCAATTTTTTCTTTTTTGTACCAAAAAAGAATGAGTGGTCAAATGAGAAAAGGGAAAGGCAACAATAATGGAAGGGCTAAAATGTGATAGATGTCTAAGAAAAGTAAAACACATCATGGGGGAATAAGAGTGGTAAACCGGGACTGGAGAATGCATGTGATTTGTGATCATGAACTAAATTCAGAGTGGACCCTTTTTTTTATATTAAAAAAATTAAAACTTTATAATAAGATCTGTGATCATCATCATCATTCAAAAACTATACAAAACAAAATCATGGATCTTTAATGGATCTTATCAAAATAAATTATAGCAATTAAATAATACATACCTAAATAGAATCTCGCCTTTGAAGTCCAAAGCATATGGGCCTTGAGAATTTAGCATCCCTTGTCAGGGTTCGCTTGATATGTCCTCTATGATGCCCTTCCCATCAAGGGCATCGAAGTAGAAGAAGTTCTTCAGTGGGTCTCCTTTCCCAGAAATACCTTTAATCACTTCCTAAGAAATGGAACACCTGGTGTTAGTAACTGGTTCGAGTAGCCTGTTTAGTGCTTAAAAACACCTACGTTTATAAAGTCATTATAAACAGATTCTAAGATACGCACCTGCCCGAGGATTCCTCCGATGATAGCGCAAACAGGAGGGAATTCCTTCGAGTTTGCTACTAATCTCTCTAGGAGGACATCGGGAATATGAGCTTCATTCAGTGACTGCAATGTTTGGGTACTGATAGTGTAAGAATGAATTCTCTACTTGATGATAGCAAAATACAGAAAAAGCATACTCCTGGAACTTAACCTGTGAGTCACAGAGCTCTTTTTTCAACTTCAAGACCCCGGGAAGATCGGATATTGAAGTCTCTCCTGGATTTCGCCCCTCGGCCTCTTCGAACCGTTCTATCACTGCAGCCATGAGAAAATTGGTGTTGCTATTGTAGGGGCATCAATATACACAAGGGAAAAATGGATCAACGACATAAAGATAATTGGAATTCAACTCCAGTAAGGAAGCAAAGATCACATGGAAGTTCTACATGCTCTGTAGAATAATCAATTCCCCTTGTAACATTCTTTGAATCCCCAATTCCATTTCGATCAAGGTCTATGAAATTAAAATAATAATAATAATAATAATAATAATAATTCACTATGTATTTATTCACACAACTAGGATTCACCACACCTCTTAATGCATAAAATAGCTTTGAAACTTTTCTGGGATGTGCTTTCCAGGGCACTGAAATTGCTTCCTGCGATAAAAGGAATACAAATGCATGTCAAGAAGAAAACGAGTACAATGTACATTTTTTACACCAAAATGATAATAATAATAAATAAATAAATAAACAGCCCATTAAGTCAAACGAACGATGCCAAGAAAAAGCAGCCACCACAAGAGCTAAACAAAGAGTAACATCATCAGTCATTTAATGTAACAGTCCAAGCCCGCCAAGAACCCCGCTAGTAGATATGACACTCTTTGAGCTTTCCGTTCCGGACTTCCCCTCAAGGTTTTTAAAACGCGTCGGTTAGAGAGAGGTTTTCACACTCTTATAAAGAATGTTTCGTTCCCCTCGTCAACCGATGTGGGATCTCACAATCCTCCCCCTTGGGAGCCCAGCGTCCTCACTGACACACCGCCCAGTGTCTGGCTCTAAATATCATTTGTAACAGCGTAGATTATCCTCTTTGCGCTTTCCCTCAAGGTTTTTAAAACGCGCCTGTTAGGGAGAGGTTTCCATTCCCCTCTCCAACCGAGGTGAGATCTCACATTTAAATATCTCCCCTCAAAATATGTATATATATATATATATATATATATATAACTGTAGCCTCCAGCTCCACCGTTTTTGACATCCAAAGCACCAAATGACCAAGTGAAGACTAATTCCATAAATGCCTCCAGATTTCTTGTGCAGGCATGAGCAGCCAAAGGGGCATAGTAACTCAAATGGAAGACGTTAACAATACTTGCGTCAGTTTCTTTGTCCTTTTAGGCAGATGAATATGAGGGATAGCAAGATAAAAATGAAAAAAAAAATTCCACACTTATATTAGCATGAATGTGGGTGCGCCATAGGAAAATCAGGATTCTGAAAACTATATATTTGTTAAAAAAAAAGAAAAAAAAAACTGTTTTACATTTACGATGTTAGAAAAACGATACCTCAAAGCTTGGATATGATAGTTGGCATTCCACAGTGTCCTCAAGTTTTTTCTGACAAGAAAATGTCAGGACAAAGTGAGATGAGCATTGTTCATGAATTTATGCCAGAAAGAAGAAATGTGAGTGCCAACTTCACAGAACAAAGTAACCAAAAGGAAGTTCTGAGATGAGCTAAACCCAGAGAAAAAGCCAACATCCCATGCCAACTATAAACAAATGCCTCCGACTGACATTAGTAGGGGCAGCAAAATGCAGTACAATCATACAAACATAGAACAAATCAAACAAATACCGCTGGAGATCTGAAACAAAGAAGATGCATAATAATATATTTTCATTGGTCACCTTTGCATATTTATAGTCTTGTAGATCAACAAATATTTCACCACAGGAATCTCTACAGTCAACAGTATAAAATGATACGCGCTTGTGTAACTTCCGGCATTTCTCATTGACTGATTTCTACAATAATTACAAAAACAATAACATGTCATGAATAAAATCACGGGAAGAACATATGAAAAAGAAAAGAAGAGGGAAAACCCTTAGCGACTACTTTTTCAGCCAGGGAGCAACAACTGACAACTATAACATCAAACGTCTTCAAAAATTCTTCATCAATGCTGGATGGCTCACCTAGAACAACATAAATTTTAGTTGAATTTTATCAGGGGGTGACAAATTATAATGACATCGAGCTCTTGGATGGAATTTTGTTACAACCATCAATGACAAAAATGCAGACAGAACAGATCTCAACATGTAATGTCTATAACTACGACCACATTATTTAATACCTTTGAGGGCTGAAACTCGCACCATTGGATTGAAATCTTTCAAAGAATCACAGCAAAGCTCAGCAACAGTTTCCCCGCCAAAAACACCCTCATCAGGGGGAATTAGAAAATTAGCAGAAAGGGCTTCTTCAGTCACCAATCGATTATCCACCAATGTCAAACTACTGATCCCAGCAAGAACAATATTCTTGCAGAACTAAGAACACAGAGAAAGAGAAAGATGAACAAGCACCACTAATCAATTGCAAGGAATCCCAATTTGAATATTAACAAAATGGAAGGCAAAGACTCAGCTCAATTCACAAGAAAATGTAACCTCAGCAACAGTCCCCTTGATTCCACATACTAGAACATGAGCTTTGCTGAGCCTGCGAGCAAGAATTAAAAACATTTCCAAAGCTTGCAATTGAAAAACAATCGCATTGAAAATTAAGATAACGTAAATTCATACAACACTACAAAATACCTCCTCTGTGCATCCGCACCCCAAACCCTAATTTGGCGGTCATACAATTGAGTCTCCTGCTCCGTCAACTCCTCTCCATCCATTGTCAACTACAAACTGCAACACACAAAAACAGAGCTCTGTAATCGCTGTTAGAAGTGAGGATGAAAATACTGCTGCGTGCCACTGCCGGCGTTGATTTCCTAAACTGAAAAAGATGGCGCGGAAAAAACCTTCGAAAAGAACTGTGGAACCTGGAACAGCGAGCTAGTAACTTCGGTTCTTGGCGAAATAGATAAATTTACGTAAAACCCCGAAAGATGTGGAAAATTACACAAATACCTAGCGAAGAAGAAACACACTACGGATGGTGATTGTGGACCAAGTGCTTATGGGCCTAAATCGTCTATTGGGCCTTTTAGGATGCAGCCCAGTTCACTTCCTAAGATTGGTAATTTGGTATAGGCCACGACAATCGTTAAACCTCAAAAGCTCCGTGTCACGGTCATGTTTGTTCAAGGCGTATTGCTTACGACCAGATCCCGATCATGCTTTTCCAGGATGTGTTGTCCATGATTGCATGATCGTTCCAAATTCCTTTTACATGTTTTCATCTTAGAAAGATCTTTACTATTTCATGTTGTGTCAATAGAAAGGTGTATGATTGGTCACCAAAATCTTGTTTACACCGGTCAATACTAAAATGCTCCAAAATGTACTATAGGGGATATAACTACCTGTCACTTCTTCTTACCTGGGTTATATGCTATTAAAGTCGTTGTTGCATAATTACTTTCAGTTTATAACATTACGTTCTTTCAAATTGTTTTCCTCGTATTTTCTTAAACATTTCTCTCAAACGTGACTCGATCCTCAAGCATACACCAATGTTGTCTGTGAAGTTCGAATTTCTCATGTCTAATTTGTTCGCTAGGTTAGAACAAGCATCACACAATCACTATCTCGTTGCCATAAGTGTCACACAATCAACAAGTCCATGAATCAGATCAAAGGCAACATACAATCTTCCACTAACTCAACAAACCCATTGTAGAATCCTCACGTTGATGTCAAAGGATGAACACGATTAAGATACGTGACAAACTTGTGACCAGCTCGACACTATTTTGGTCTCGTACTAATTTTAAGCACAAAGTGGGTTGGGCAAAGCATCACGCCGATGTGAGATATCTCTTTTGCAAGGTGACTTATATCAAGAGCCGACATTAAATCTAACTTGCTAACCTAACCTAACCAAACTAGATCTATGCATCAATAGTTACCGTATGAAAGTGTTTAAAAATGATAACGAGTGATGTATTTCACCTTAAAGATATAAAAATAACTTTTTTTTTTTTTTTTTTTTTACTGTAAACAACGCTGTAAATGGAAAAACGTGAATGGTTAAAAAGGAAAAGAAGAAGAAAGAAACAAAAACCGTAAAAAGTGAAAAAGGTTGTCGCTATAAATGAGTCGATGGATGAGAGAACTGTTTATGTGTCAGTCACCCACATGACAATTCCATCAAAAAACCAAAAATTTAAAATTAAAACACAAAGTTTACCGACAAGTGTGCATGTTGCGTTGGTACGGTGTCAAGGAATTGGTGACAGCTTGACAACCAAACACGTGGCCTCTCCACTAGGATCCACCAGTGCCATTCCCCCCCCACACGTGTCAATCACCCAACTCGCTCCAACTCGTCTCCACTCACTCGCTCCTACTTTTTCCAACCATTATTGCTACCAATCAAATTATTCTCTTCTAATTCTCCTTTTTCCTTTTTCAAACATTAAATATTAGGAATATAGAAAGTAAAGATGACATAATTTTATGAGTTATTCTCACTATAAACATTCACGGTCAGCACATATTACCCTCTTTGAGCTTTTCCTTTCAAACTTCTTCTCAAAGCTTTAAAACGCATCTGCTAAGGGAAGGTTTCCAAACATCTGACCATATGCCAGCCTTTTCGTTGTTCCCCGAAGAGGGGTTAGACACGAGGCGATGTGCCAGTAAGGACGCTGGGCCTCAAAGGAGGTGGATTTGGTGGCAGTCCCTTAAAGAAAGGAATGCCAGCGAGGACGCTGGACCCCAAAGGGGGGTGGAATGTGATGTCCTACATTGGTTGGGGAGGAGGACAACTCACCCTTTATAAAAGTGTGGAAACCTTCCCCTAGCAGACGCGTTTTAAAGTCTTGAGGGGAAGCTCGAAAGGGAAAGCCCAAAGAGGACAATATCTGCTAGCGGTGGATCTAGGTCGTTACAGTTATCATCGGACTTAACTCCATAGCTACATGTTCAAACTCTTGAAACCTCAACTTTCAAGGATAATGTCTGAGTTGATCCTCATGTCTACGTTCTTGCTCTTTGTCTATGCAACAACTTGGCTTCAATGCATATCTCTTTGGTGTGTTAGATGATGCATCGTCCTCTTCAATCGCAACATGACATTGTCTTGTCTATAAAAGAACAGTGGTGGATTTGAGCTGTTACAATGTCTGTTTATTCACTTCTAATTGGTGAGAGGTGACACGTGTCCCGGAGGCCCTCTCGACCTAAGGAGACGACGTAATGATAACAGTTGTAATGTATGGCATAGGGCAGTGGCATGTGTGGGCAAAGGAAGTGTCAGAGGGAAGGGGGAGATATGGATTTTCGGGGATTTTGAGGCCTAAACCAAACCCCACTCAACCTCGATTTCATGGGTCGACATAATAATCTATGGGGAGGCCGAGGCCAAGGGCGAGGCTGAGGCGGAGGCTGAGGCCTCATCTCATTCATTACTATTTTAAACATGTGTTTGCTTATTCGTGGTTGGTGTCTCTGTCCTGCTGCTTTATGGGTTGTTGTTGGATTGTGTGTTTTACATTAAAAGCTCCAATCTTTTTAACCTATTGCTAGCATGTATAAGGGCCACAAAATTAATACTCGTTTTAAAATGCATTAAGAATTCGATATCATTACGAAAAGAACGAGTATTATATTCTTCTTGAATATTGTAGACGTTCGTATGAAAAGTTGAAACGAACACGTAAAAGTACTTTAAGAAACCCATTAAACTAACTCTTAATGGGAATTCTAATAGTTATTTTGCATTTGATTTTGGTTGGTTATGGAAGAGGAAAGATTTGAATCTCGACACCGTTGTAGTATGTGGGCAGGTGTTTTAATAAGTTTGTTGAACTATAGACTCCACAACCGTCTCTCATTTGAGTTTGTTCTATAGGTTATAAAGACAAGTTCATAAATTTGAAAGGGTTGCGCATGAGATGGTGAAACAAAAGAGGGTAAAGAGGGTCGCAAGTACTTTGTATTATGTTAACCGAGCATTCAAGCGATTTTTATTTGTTATGTTCATACACACCGTGTAACAGTTCAAACACACGTTAATTAATATTGTCCGTTTTAGCTCGTTACGTGTTACCGTCAGCTTCATAGTTTTAAAATGCGTCTGTTGGGGAGAGGTCTTCACATTCTTATAAAGAGTGTTTCGTTCTCCTCCTGTGACCAATGTAGAGTCTCACAATCTACCTCCTTGGAGCTTAGCGTCCTTGCTAGCATATCGTCGGGTGTCTGGTGTCTGGCTCTTATACCATTTGTAACATAACGAATGTTTTGTTCCCCATTCCAATCGATATGAGATCTCACAATCCACCTCCCTTGAGGGCCCAACGTCCTTGCTGGCACACCGTCAGTGTCTGACTATGATATCATTTATAACACAAGGAACGTTTTGTTCCCTTCTCTAACCGATGTGAGATCTCACAATTCACTTCTCTTGCGAGCCTAACGTTCTCACTAGTACACCGCTCGGTGTCTGACTCTGATATCAACACAAGGAACGTTTTGTTCCTCTCTCCAACCGATGGGCATCTCACAATCCACCTCCCTTGAGGGCTTAACATCCTCACTAACCTACCACCTAGTGTCTGGCTTCCATACCATTTGTAACGGTCTAAGCACGTCTCTAGCAGATATTATCTACTTTAACTCGTCATGTATCACCGTCAGCTTCATTGTTTTAAAACGCGTCTATTAACCAGAGATTTCTCGCTCTCTAAACACAATTTTCTCTCTCCTCTACCCTCTGCTCTTGAATGCTTTAAACCAGACCGAGAATGACATCCTTACTGATACCTATATTTTAGGTAGCATGTGATTCCGTATGTATGAATTTATCAAGTCTTAAGCAGCAAGTTCCTTCTAGGCAATCTACTTTATTGGATTTAATGGAATCTGTCAGTGAATGAACTGGAAAGAACAACCCAATCCATTCATTCATTCATTCACTCACTCACTCACCACTCTCTCTCACTTCCCTTTTCATTTCACTTCCTTTCCCCCCTTTTCCTTCTCTTTTTTCTCGGGAAGTTCCAACCTCCAATCTTCTAGGAACCCCAAAATCAAACCGCTAGCAAAGTAAATGTTTTCATGGGTATGAACGGGATCTTGTAGCCTCAAACTTCAGTGATTTTGATTCAACTTTTTTGCAGGGGAGCTTCAGAAAATGGCGCCATCAACTTCAGGATCATCAAAGAGAGCCAGAGGAGCTCACAGTGGCGCCATTCAGCCAGTTTCTTGCCTTGTCGATGGCTGCAATTCAGATCTAAGCAACTGTAGAGACTACCACAGGCGCCATAAGGTCTGTGAGCTGCATTCCAAGACTCCTCAGGTCACCATCGCTGGCCTCAACCAGAGATTTTGCCAGCAGTGTAGTAGGTAACTTTCGGACACTGTTTTTTTTTTTTTTTTTTTTCTCCTTTTGGTCTTTCTTTTTTCCTTTTTTCTTTCTAATCATGGTATGTTTCTGTTCTCTGTCGCCAACTTTTGAGCACTACCCATTATTTTATTCTTCAAGAACTGTTGATGTTTTATGTCAAGAAATCTGTCCTCTTTCTGGGGTCTTAAACGTTTTTCCAGAACGCTTGCCGCTGGATTTAGTTGCGTTTTCGAGTCTTTTCAGGAGAAAATTCTCTGTTCATGAATGTTCCAAAACTTGCAGAAGCTTTTTCCCAATTTAGAGTTCATTTCAGTGACCAAATTCTGCAGCCATTAATGAATTCCCATCTGCTCTGTTCTTCTCTGCTCTGTTTTTCCGTTTTTCCAGAACGCTTGCCGCTGGATTTAGTTGCGGTTTCGAGTCTTTTCATGAGAAAATTCTCAGTTAATTAAAGTTGCAAAACTTTCAGAAGCTTTTTCCCAATTTAATGTTCATTTCAGTGACCAAATTCTGTAGCCATTAATGAATTCCCATCTGCTCTGTTCTGCTCTGCTCTGCTCCGTTTTCTCCCCCCCCCCATAGGTTTCATTCGCTTGAGGAATTTGACGAAGGAAAGAGAAGCTGCCGGAAACGACTGGACGGCCACAACCGGCGGCGGAGAAAGCCTCAAACTGACCTCTTGCCTCGATCTGCTGGCCATTTGTCCTATCATCAAGGTTAGAATTTTTGGTTGTTTTTTAATGGAAAAATCTCAATTACTGAAGTAATATGCATTTCTTCCAGGTGCCCATTTGTTGCCATTTACAAGCTCGCAAGTTTTTCCACCGACCACTTTGAGCAGCCACGGGTGGTCGTCTGCAGGAGATCCCTCCGTCTTCCACAACCAGAACCAAGAACTCAATTTTCTCGAAAAACAGAGGCTTTTTGTGGAACCATCCAGCTACAAAGCGGCGCAACCACTGGGGTTCTTGCATGGCGGCCCGACAACATGCCGACCACTTCTCCGGAGTATCAATACCCTGTCGGAAAACACCGGCGGCGAAAGGAACAAGATGGTTTACTACAGATTCAGAGTTGGAGTTAGTGAATCAGATTGTGCTCTCTCTCTTCTGTCATCGTCACAGCAGGCCGCCGACAGTGGTTCTTCTGGGCATTTGGGTTTGAGCAGAATCGAACAAGAACAGCAACAGCGTAGCGCCGCCATTTCTCTGCTGCAGCCATTGAGCCACCACCACCACCATAAACTCGACAGTTTTGAGAATTCTGAGTCTTCTTCGGTTCATGGGGCTGTTAATTTCCCCGAGATCTTTGGAATTCCCTCCGAGAATGCTGGAAATCAATCCCCTTCCACTCTTCCTTTTCACTGGGAGTAAGTAGAAACCAAAGGAAACAAATTCCTAATTATGTCTGCCTGTCAGTGTTCTAATATTAATAAACATGAAGAACTCTCTCCTGCGTTTGTTTCTTCCTGTTCTTTTGTTGTTAACGAGTTCTTTTGTTGTTCGAGACCGTATGAGTTTCGAACTTTTGATATCACACGTGCATTCATCTCTGAATTGTTATTGTGTAACGACCCAGATCCACCCGCTAGTAGATATTATCCTCTTTAAGTTTCCCCTCAAGGCTTTAAAACACGTCTGTTAGGAGAAGGTTTCGACACACTTATAAAGGGTGTTTTGTTTTCCTCCCCAACTAACGTAGGACATCATATATTGGGTTAACGTTGAAACGCTATACAAACATCTACATAGTATGCAATTTTGTGAATAATTAGGTTTGTTTTTAGTTGAAGAATTACGTTAAGAACTCGAACCATGAATTTGTTATGTGTGAATTTACAAACGATTTTGTTTGGATAAAAGTAAATTATTTTGGTGGGTGCCTTCTGCACTCATAAGGATGTAACTGCTCAAACTTACTGTTAGCATATATCTCTTGTACTCATAATAATGTAACAGCTCAAGCTTACTGTTAGCCGATATTGTTGCACTCATAATAATGTAACAGTTCAAGCTTACTGTTAACCGATATTGTTTGACAATTTTTTTATATTTTTTAAATAATTTTTAATCGTTGCAAATTAAATAAATATCCTTATGAATACGTGGGTTGCTTCTAGAGAAAGAAATAGGGGGAGGGGTCAAAAATGCAAATTTCAGTTACATAGGGGAAGAAAAAGTTAAGAGGCAGGGGTAAGAAATAAGAAAAAGGAAAAAGTTAAGGGGGTAATCTGCAAAAAATAAGAAAAATGCCAAAACACATTCAATTCAAACAGAATCCTAAGGATACTCGAACACCATTTCCGCATTTAAGGATGCTCTGCCTACGCGATTAAAATCCCCTGTTTTAAGCTACACCTTACAAAACCTACGCTGACGTGAGAATCTGTATATAATCAAGTCAAATGGAACTCTAACTGTGACGGCCGCCGGAGCACCCGGATTTTCTCCGATGAACGACGACATTCTTCACAACATCTTCCGCCGGCTTCCGGCTCGATCCTTCGCAGCGGCGGCCTGCGTTTCCAAAACATGGAACTCTACGTGCAATCGGATCCTCCGTCGCCCGAAATTCGCCTCCGCCGTGTCCTTGAATCCCTCTCTTCACGTTTGTCTCGTTACTCTTGGAGTTCCTCCGTCGATTTGGTGGTTCCGATGAAGGGATTGATGGATTTCTGTGTTGCAGGTGGCGGTGGAGGAGGTTGTTCATAAGGTTCTGTCGGAGCCGATTCGGCCGCAGTTCGCCATTGCTTGTGTCGGCGTGGAATTCAGCTTGGAAGTGGTTCACCATCTTGTATTTCTCTCCTACCCTTTTAATTTCTTCATGAAATTCGTTCATTTCAGGGTGTAATTAATCATGGGTCGGACTCAGATTACAGAGGCGCTGGGCTCAAGAACTCCGGTGATCACAAATGCAGCCAGAGGCATCATCGGCGTAGACGCGTTAACCGACGAAGTCAAGGAGGTTTGTTCATAGCATTTTGAAAGAGTTTTAGATTAATTTGAATAATTTAAGGAAAAAATTACAGGTGAAATGGGAATTGTCGGGTGATTATGATGTTGAAACTCAAGATTACAACTCGATCTTCAATCGAAACAGAGGAATCGTTTTGGCCGTTGGATTTCTGCCCGGATTTAAAGTTGATGCAATCTCACTCCTCCGTTCAATTAAGGTCAGTGGATGCGATGTTGAAGGCTAATTCAGTGTGTAAACTCTAAAAATCCAAAGTTTCAGGTGTCTGAAGTAGCTGTGGCGGATAAGTTCGTGATGGATATAAGGGACTATACAGCCTCTGTTTCCGACTTCACCTCTCCTTCCTGCATTATACTGTTTGGAGTAAGTTCCCACCATTCTCATATTTCATGGCACGGTATTGTCCTATTTGAACTCTTCCGACCCCTCTCAAAGTTTTAAAATGTGTTTGGCCGAGATTCTTACACCCTCACGAAACATTCTCCACTCTAACTAATGTGAATCTTACGATCCTCCCCTTGTGGGCCTAGTGTTCTTGACGGCAAACTACCAAGTATCTGACTTTGATACTATTTGCAACAGCCCAAGGTTTTTAAACGTTCCCCACTCTAACTAATGTGAGTAGATATTGTCCTTTTGGGGTTTTCCCTTTCCCTCAAAGTTTTTAAACGAGCTAGGTAACCTTTTCAATCAATATGAATCTCACAATCCACCATGTTAGGGGCCAGTGTCCTTGTTGGCACAGTATTCGGTATATGTCTTTGATACCATTTTTAACGGTCCAAGTCCATCGCTAGTAGATATAGTCTTGTTTGAGCTTTTCGTTTCGGGTTTTCTCCTCAAGATTTTTAAAACGTCTCTACTAGGGTTTTCCACTCAAGATTTTTCGTTTCGGGTTTTTGGGTTTTCGGGTTTTCCACTCAAGATTTTTCGTTTCGGGTTTTTGGGTTTTCGGGTTTTCCACACATTGGAAAGAATGTTTCGTTCCCTCCTCAACCAATGTGAGATCTCACAATCCATCGCTTTTCGAGTCGAGCATGCTAGCTGCAACCCCCAACCCTAACAGACAAATATCCTTTTTTTCTCAACACTTTAAGATCGTTGACTTCTTCAAATCCCTTACATGGTTGGGCTGCTCATAATGCTGCAGGATCAACACGAGGACATGAAACCCATCATCGCAAAGCTAGGTAAGTTGACCACCGATCAATTTGCCGTTTACCCATAACTCAAAACACCCTAATCGGTATATCAACATATTCCAGATTCAGCTATGGCCGAAGAAACAGTGATTGTGGGCGACGCCTGTGGCTGCTTCTTGAGCAAAAGTAGAAGAACAACCAACGAAATTAACGGGTTTTCACTTGGTGCTGTAGCTTTAGTAATTGCAAGGGACAAGAACAACCCAGAAGCTGTCGGAGAAACCATTTTCCATTTCACATCATCCACTGGAACAATCCCTTTTGGCCCTGAATTGAAAGCCGTTTCCACCAGCGTCAGAGGCTCCAAATTCACATGGCTCTCTGCTTTCATGGAAGGAGACGACGAAATCCTTCATGGACAGAGCATTCTAAAGGATCTTCAAGAAGAGGTCCGACAGCAATTTCTCTTGTTTCTGTAACTTTCATAATCTCTAACTTAGAAATTTGCAGATCGAATACGACGATTTGGAAACCGATATGTTCATCGGAGTAACGCAAAATCGAAAACAGAGCATCGGTTCACAAAGCTTGGGGCCCTCAAAATCCTTGGCTATGTATAAAGTTTTAGGGTACCCTTTTCTCCTCTTTAATCCTATACCACGAAAATGATTACATAAACACATAAACACTTGAAATTTTTGGTGAATGATCGGCGGCGATTACGAACAGGGGAGACCAGCAGTATTTTGTGGTGGACGGCGTCGGAATCCGGCCAGGCGATTCCTTCTTATTCTACCATTCAGATTCAGAAACTGCGTCCTCTTCTTCCAGCATTGCATTTGAGGATCTTGCAACTCTAAACCCACCGCCCAAAACCAACGCCGCCCCAAGCTCTGTGTTTGCCGCCGGTAAAAGTGAAGTTTTTGGAGGCCTTATATTCTCCTGCCATTCTCGAGGACAGGCGTATTTTGGACGTCCCAATGTTAATTCGTCGCCGTTTAGTTTGAATTTCCCCGGTGTCCCGTTTGCCGGGATGTTTTGTGCCGGGGAAATTGGTCGTGCCGTTTCGAGGTCGATTCCGGACGAGGAAGAGGTAGACGAGGATGATTCTGTTCGCCGTTGTCTGCATGTTTATAGTACTGTTTATTTGGTTTTGTCTCATATTAATGGCGGCGGAGAAGGGTAAAAGATGAAGATGGTGATGAATATTATGTGATTTGTGTTTAATAAGTTCATCTTTGCAAAAATTGGAATAAAAAGTTTAGATGTGTTATATATAAATATATTATGATCGAGACATTCGAACATATAACCATATATAACACGCTTTAGATAAGTATGACTGACACTTGTCACTTAAATCAAACCATAAAATTACAACGGTTGAATTAGGTTTTTTATTTTCTTCTCAAGCCTGGAACAGAAGAAAGAAAACCAACAAATCGGGCACACCTTAAGTCTAGGGTCTACCATACACAAGCCCTATTAGGAGGCGAGCAATTGGGTCATCCTCCAGCTCGATGATATCACGAGTTGAGTTTCAAGCCTCACATTCTTGCTCATTTTAAATATGGTTAGCGTCTAGCTCATTCTACCTCTATTACAAACAAACTTAAACGGGTTTATTCAACTTAACCGCTAGTTTTTAATTAATTAGGGTTATTTCTTTTATATTATTAAATTTTTTCTTAAGATTTTAAAGTTGACATAAAATTGGAAGAAGCAAACTGAATTTCTTTGCTTTATGACGTCACAAATAGTGTTGGATTTGACAGAAAATTACATAAGTTTTTGGAAACACAAAGCTTGAAGACCATCAATACCAAAATTAAGCTTGAAGAGACCATATTGCTTAATTTTGTAACCCATCCACCTGAAATGCCCTGCATGTAAAATTCCCATATTAATTTATAAGCTATGATTATAATATTCTCCTCCTTAATCTTTTATTAAATAATTACATTAATTTTATAACCTATGTTTCATTCCATTTTAATCCATATTCTTTCAAATATATAAATTAAGTTAATATTTTAAGAAAATAGCGAAATTAATAGAAATTAATACAGTAAAAATAAAATCAAGATTATTAAAAGATTATGCACATACATATCGAGTGCAGAGAAGGCATTAGCATCTGAGATTCTTGAGGTTGTGACACCCACATCCTTGAGCTGATTCAACTGACATTAACAACAACAAACAGACATTAATTTAATCGACAAGAACACAGAATCTGGGATCTGTGTTTTTTTTTTTTTTTTTTTTTTTTTTTTTTTTGTTCTTACTCTTTTCTGAAGACGGCTATGCTCCTCTTGCAGGCCTTTGTACTGCAATTGTATTTAAATTTCAGTTAATTGTCGTGTTATACGTTGGTTTGAAATGGGTTGGAAGTTTAAGGTTTAGAAATGGTTGTTTACCTTCCTTTTCAACTGGTTTATATGCTCTGATGTGATGCGTCTCTGTCGTTCATGCCCAAAATGAATAAACAAAACAATACATAAATAGTCATGGCCGAAGCATTGCTTACCAAAAACCTAAATTCTCTAACCCTAGTCTTTCTTAAAACATCATGTTTTTGGTTCGACTAAGTTGATAATTAACAAGACTCGATTTTGAAGGGAAAAATATAACATCCCGAACTCATCGCTTGTAGTTATTGTCCATTCTTTTGGCTTTCCCTTCGAGCTTCCCCTTGAAATTTTTAAAGCTGGAGAGAGATTTCCACACCATTATAAGGAATGTTTCGTTTCCCCTCTCTAACTGATGTGGGATCTCACAATACACCTGTCTTGGGAGTCCAGCGTCCTCGCTGACACACCATATGGTGTCTGGCTTTGATATCATCTCTAACATATCAAATTCACTCTTAATCGATATTGTCTTCTTTGAACATTCATTTCCAGGCTTGTTTTTAATACGTATCTGCTAGGGATAGATTTCAACACTCCCATAAAGAATGATTCGTTTTCTTCTTCGACCGAAGTAGAATCTCAAAAAAAAAAAAAAAAAAAAAAAAAAACCCATTTCGTGAACATGAATTTATATATAGTTCGTATGAGAAGTGTTGGATGAAGAAAGTCCCACCTCGGCTAATTCAGGTTTATAATCAAAGAATACTCTCTCCATTGGTACGAAGCTTTTGGGAATTCCAAAGCAAAGTCATAAGAGCTCATGCTCAAAGTGAACAATATCATACCATTGGAGAGAGTTGTGTTGGTCTAACAAGAAGATTCAAACTTTTAAGTGTTTATTTCTAGATAACAATAGAGTTACACTCAAAGTCGAGTTCAAATTGCGAAAGGCTTTACCTTCTTAGAGCGAACACGTTCAATTCCGACGCTCATTTGTCTTTCCAACTGTTTTAACTCCTTCAAGCTCAACAGTCCAAGATCCTCACCAGCAAAGTTCCTAATATGGTAAAATTCGATCAACTTCAACATTAAATCATCACAAACCACACTTAAACATACCTTAATCTTGCATCCAAGCTGATTATCGATCGTTTCATATCCTCCATCTCACTCTTCCAAACCTACAAATCAAAATCAAACCAACACCCACAAATTCTTAATTGTATATATATACACAAAGCCCTAATCTTCAAACATTGAGACACCCAAATCAAAAAAGGATCAAATAAAAACAGAGAATCCAATTTCACAACACCCCATTAATCCAATAACTAAATACCAGAGCTCGTGAATGTGGATGGTTCGATTGCGGTAGCCCCACGTCGCTCCTATACCTGGCTAGGGTTCCATCCATGCTGCACCCAATCAAACCAAACCCAACAATTTCATCATGAACAAGCCTTAAAAACACGACCCATCAAGCAAATAACCAAAACCCATAATCACCGAGCTCAAAGCTCGAACCTTTTCTCAACTTTACACCACTAAATCCTTCCATCTCAAAAACCCACAAATTTAATCGTTTAAATCTAAAGAAAAACATCAAGGAAAAGGAAGTACGAACTCGTGGCTGGAAAACTGGTAGGCCTTGCCGGACGGCGAGAAGATGAGGAGGGCAACCTCGGCGTCGCACAGAACCGACAGCTCGTAAGCTTTCTTCAAAAGCCCATTCCGACGCTTGGAGAACGTAACTTGCCGACTTGTCGGATTTTCGATTCGTTTCAGCTGAACTTTGCCTCGTCCCATGTTTTTGTTTTTAAAAAAAAAAATGTTTTTTTTTTTTTTTTTTTTTGGTTTAATATTTGAATTTTAGACTAAAAATTAAAATTTTAGAAATTTATATATCTATTAAATATAAAATTGAGAGATATAATTAAAATGAATAATAAATAAATAAAGACCCATTTAATTTTTGGACCATTGAAAATCTTATCCATTTTGAAACGGCAGTTGCAAATCCAATCTAAATAGCCCAACGAAGGCGCGAAAAAGAGCAACCGGTAATACAGTTAGAAGGTGAAGATGCAGAGTCTGCCTCCTCCCACTACCCTCAAAATTCCCTCCCTTTCTTCAAATCCCTCCCCTTCTCTCCAATTCCCCACATTTTCAACGAATCGTTTGATTCGCCAAATCAACGATGGCCGCCTTCGTACAGCGATCTCAACTCTCGAACACATGGTGCAGCACGGATCCCATCCTGATCTTCAAACCTATTCACTTTTCCTCAAAAGATGTATTAGAACTCGTAGTTTTGATCTTGGTAGGCTCGTTCATGAAAAGCTCACTCAGTCGGACCTCCAGCTCGACTCTGTGACTCTCAATTCTTTGATTAGCTTGTANAAAAAAAAAATTTTTTTTTTTTTTTTTTTTTTTTGGGTCAGTGATGATTCTGCGTTGGTGCAAAAAAAATGTGAGGTTCATGCACCGGAGAGAAGCAAGGACTTATAAGGTTACATCATGTTTTATATATACGAAAATAAAATAAATAAATAAATAAATAAAGGGAAATACATATATATTAGATTTGGCGGCGTTTAACATAAAGTAATAATATAATAATAGAAATGTAAAAAAGAGAGAGAAAAAAGTAAAAGGAAAATAGACGGCGTCAAGAAAACAGGTAAAATTGGATGATTCGAAGTGAAGGAGAAAGCGACGGAACATCACAGAGACGTGGGCCGCTGTGTCGATGCGGTGTGATGCGATGCCATTTTCCAACTAAATTTAGCTTTTCTAATGATTCTCCCCTTTTCCCTATTCATTTCATTTCATTTCTCTCTCTCTTAATTATAAATTTTATTTACTAGAATAAATTATTAATTGCGGAAATAAACACGGTCGCCATGTAAAGTTGCCGAGGAGATATGACGGCGATAAAGAGAAAAAGTACGAGAGTGTAACACTTTAGTGCTCGTTACTCACGAGGAGTAACTATGCAGCATGGTCGATAGTGATACGTGTTAACTTATAGGCACGAGGTGTGTTGGACACTATTGTACATGGTGACGTAAAGGAGTGTAAGGACAAAATAGCTCTTACTGCCATGACGTCCTTCTCGTGTTGGCTGAGAAGAATTCAGCTTAAGTAGTGTGGGAGCCGCTGCTAACAATGCATGTGGGCGTGGAATGTGTTAATGAAGCAAAAGTACTGAGGTTAAAAAGTGAGTTCGAGGCTATTTTGCATGAAAATGGTAAGTTAACAAGATCATTGGTGGCATCTGTGGTTAAAATTTCTTCGATTAAACAAAGTTGACACAAGAGAGTAACATGGAGACATTCTCACCAAGACTCTAGCAAAAGTCAAATTTGCAAACGTGTAGTAGTTACTTGAAGTGAAGAATATCGAGTAAAGTCAAGACGGAAGAGCACGTTATTTATATATATTTCGATCGTGGATCATATCGCACGCTGTCATCACACTAGATCACATCCGTACTGTCGTTCTAGCCCTGTCCCGTTGCTAGCCACTCTCAGGTGTAAGCAGAGCACGTTCACTACTGCTCTACTCACCCACACAGTTAATTACTCATGTCATGTTGTCGCCGCTCCAACCGCGGTGACAACACTAAAGGATGGTGTTCATCTGATTTACATCCCCTTTTTCTCTCATGTGAATAAGACTACACAACCACCAAAAAAGGGACCTCCTCAAGGATGTCAACACACTGTCCAACAAGATTCAAGACCTTTTGGGCAAGTTTTAAGGTTATGACATGTTTTGATTTACTCTTTGACGACAATGATTGAAAATATCTCTTTAAGATTTAGATCGCATATGGGTAAGGTATAACTATGTAGTAAATTTTGGTTTTCATGCGAAGCGATCGATCGAGTTGATCTTAAGGTGTTTGAATGCAAGATTTGGTGTGAGTTGAATTCAACTGAGAGTCGTGATCTCTAAGGGATTGCCTTCAAGGTAAAGGGTCTTCTCGCTCGATCTAAATAATTTTTGTTTTTCTAAAGTGATTGGATATGTATGCATTTATGTAGCTAGTAATGAACATAATGTTGCGGTAAAAATTAAGCGCTATGTGCTCAAGTAGGTAGTCATCAAGGTCAGTGGAGGTGATTTAAGTCCTCCTAATATCTCAATACCACCGCTAACAGATATTGTCTACTTTATCCCGTTACGTATCGCCGTCAGCTTCATGATTTAAAAATGCGTTTGTTAGATAGAGGTTTCTACACCTCTTCTCTCCAACTGATATAGGATCTCACAATCCACCTCCCTCGGGGGTCCATCATCCTAGTTGGCTCTACTACCATTTGTAGTAAGCCAAATTCACTACTAGCAAATATTGTCTGTTTTAGCTCGATATTTATCGTCGTCAACCTCACAATTTTAAAACACGTCTGTTATTAGAAGTTTCTACACTCTTATAAGAAATGTTTCGTTCTATTCTCTAATCGACATGAGATCTCACATACCTGTTTTAGTAAAAAAAAAAAAAATCAGATGGTGTTTCTGACCATTACGGATGGTTCATGATTTTGAGGAATGGTCATCAACGTATGAGCAGTCAGTACCTCCATGAGTCGGTTAGGGTCGAGCTAGATGATCCTCATTCAAAATAGGTCACGAGAGAGTGAGAGTGACTACCATTTTTAACTCAAATTGGTTTCTTGATATTACTCGTGATTGCCACGTATATGTAAAATATCCAACCCCAACAAGAGAGTGCCTTACTGAGCATTTTAAATATTCACCTATTTATTTATTTATTTATTTTTATTTTTTAAATCAAGTAAATGCAAGGCTATGATGTGAGAGTGATGGAGAAAGCTAACTAACGGGTCTAAATCAGTATTAAAATTCCTAAATTAACCAATAATCTTACCTTTTTACTTTATTTATTGCTTTAATTTCTATATTTTAAAAATTGTGGTACCTAACTCACATGAAAATGAAATATCATTGAAATTAAATGTGGATTTTATTATGTAATAATTTAGCACTTGATATTTTAAAATATATTTATGCTCTCAATAATTTATTTTGATAAGACTAAAATATTAATATGAAAAATATTTATTTATTTATTTTCAAACCACTAATATTTACCATTCAATTTCAATAATTGAAAAATATTTATATCGATTTTAATTAATGGTTCAACCAAAATTAATTTTAGAAAAAAGTTATTCAAACTCAACTCAATAATAATATGTTCGTAACCAATCAAAATCTAAGAATTAAGTTAAATTGATCGAGAATATATAATAAAACTATAGGATAAGAATATTATTTGATATTATATTGTAAAGATAGAAACTTAGAATATATCCTCCTTCAATCCAAATTTAACTTCAGTCATTTTTTAAAAAATATCTAATTTTATGAATCAATTTTTACTATTTATTAATGATTTATTGCTATTTTTACTTAATTACGTTTAAAAATAAACTCAAATTTACCTAAATAAGTGTATTTATCTTAAAAAATCTCATAATTTTTAAATAAGGAAGAAGAACAATGGAAGGCAATTCTCTGATATTTTTCTAATTTTAATTAATTATTCCATTTTAAAAAATGAATACACGTGAAAATTATGCATTAATAATTAAATTTAAAAAAAGGATTAAGATTTTTAAATCATTATTGTGAAAATATGACTAAAATTAGAAAGAAAAAAGAAATGTGGCTCGTATAATTGGTCAGAATTTAAAGCAAAAAAAAAAAAAGAAAAAGAAAAAGAAAACCCATTTTAGTCTTTACGCCGTTAAACACGACAGGGTCAAACATACGTGGTACAAATGCTAAGTTGTCATTGCCTAGAAACTTGACACGTATGCACTTAATCATGTCAGAATATTACAGAACTGCATGAGAGACTGACACGTCATTACCCGACGATGGGACCACTAACCCCATCATCGGATTAGACCGCGTTTGGCTGCAAATTCAAAAAGGTCTTTTCAGACCACTAGACCAACTTTTTTCCCCAAAAGAACCCCCCAACGTTACGAGCCGTGATTGGGCGAAGGGCTCAATTTTTAAATATTAAAATATTAGCCCCACTAACACGTGTCCTCATATCCTTCATTTGAAACAGCAATGGACATTTCTGTCCCCTATAAAACCCCCCCCCCCCCCCCCCCC